ATCATTTGCGGGGTTGAAAACAAAAATGTGTAAAATAATTTAGAGATAAATATAATTTAAAAATTAAAATTTAAAAACTAAAATTGAGATTTAATTAAAATAAAAATCTCTATTTTTTTTAATCTATTTCATTCTTAATTGGTGATGTACACAATTTCAAACACAGAGCATTATTAACGAGTTACACTCCAAACAGGAATCCCCGTAACAACTCCACCGAAGTTGGCCGTCCCATCAATTTGAAATTTTCTCATCCCCACCGTCGCCGTCGCAGGCGGCACCGCCGGCAAATACTCCCTTTCCGGCCCCTTCACTCTAACCGAGAAATTTATCATCCCGTTCCGCTGCCCCGTCGCATCCCACAACCTGAAACTTAAAAACTGCAAGCAGTCCCCCGGCACATACCCTCCTATAAACTCGGAAACCGGAACCTTGGCCGAACCTACCCTTCTATCTCCGGAAGAAGTCCTGCATTTAACTTCCAGGATGATGAAACGCTCCCTTGCAGGCAAGCCCATGACGAACTTCTCGTTCCAAATAGGATATCCTCCGCCTTGGGCGTCAGTCTTGGTCATCCGATAGTTGAAGGGGTCGATCGAAACGACAACGAAGGCATTCTTTTTCAGATTTCTGTTGTTAATTCGGAGATCTTCCGCCGACAATACCGTGAGTTCGAGGGTTCGAGACTTAGTCTCCATTAGGTTGGAAAAATTCAAAAGTAAACAAAATTAATTAACTTTAGAAATGCAGAGGTCGAGGAAATCAACGAATATACCAGTGAATGGAGATGAGAAAAAAAAAAGAAGACTGGAAAGTGTTATGTAGGGTTTGGGAACGAAGTCGGGTAGAAGGGAGGGAGAAAAAGAGAAGTTGGTTCGGGTTTGTTATTCATTGCGCGCTGTTTGGTTTGTTTCAATATTGGCGGTGGATCAAGATTCTTCCTTTCTTTCGTGATAAGACCCTGCACAAGTGACAAATAATGAGGCTTTAAAATCTGTGAATAGCTAACTGTAGAGTATTCCCACAGCTAGAGTAGAGTTTACATGAATAAAAGAAAACCAATGAAACAATTACATTATTTCAAAGTAATTTTCGGTTTTTTTTGGTATGATCATCCAAGATTCCAAGCATTACATTAATCAACGGGGCAGACCAATTAGATGTCATAAAGAACATAGAGGAGGGTATGCAAAGGAGAAAGAAAAAATTGCTGAAGTTTAAAAGCTGAGAATGATACATCTTTATCAATTAGGAAAAAATTGCGTGCAGCTGTTTCATTATTTCCTGTCATCTTTGAAACAGCCTGCACAGCCATGTTAAGAACACCAAACCCTGCACTGGAAGCCACAAAAACTGAATGGGATGAAAAAGAAGGCTACAAGGATGTACACAGAGAAACATCGAAAGCACAAAGTTTCAGGTATAAGCTTGTTATAATTGACTGTTGCAAATACCTTCCAGCTCCCACAACAACTATCTTTTGGTTTACAAAGTCAGCCAATGGTTGACCTTGTGCTCTAACAGTTCCCATTAATCTCGCAAGTGCAACACTAGCAGTCCCCTATAACACATTCACTGAGGACATTCGTTCTAGAAGTATGATAATCCAACAACAATATGTACATTTGCTGCCCCTTTAATCCATAGAAATAGCAATATGTTTCACTAAGAACTAACCTGTATGTCATCATTGAACATGCAAAACCTTTTCCGATACCGTTTCAGAGTTTCAAAGGCTCACTTCATTTGAAAATCCTCAAACCGAAATGTATAACCATTAAATTAACAACATGATAGACACAAGTATAACACATGCCACATAAAATTTTACTTCTTAAAGAAATATACCTGTATGATAGCCTTGGACCAACGTTTGAAAACTGCTTCCATGAATTCATCAACAATCGATAAATATTCTTCACCTTCCAACCTAGGTTGTCTAACCCCTAAATCTGTGAGCCAAAAATGTCAAAAGGTATCACAAACAATTCACAAAAGAATGTTCTAAAATGCATATCATAAGAGGAAACAATTTTTAAAGATCTAAGTAATGGTGCCCCATTTTACTCACAAAGCTGGTCTTCAAGTAGCTTTTGATTGTTAGTACCAACATCTAGCATAACTGGGAGTATCTGTTGGAGACAGATGTTCACTGAATAATTAAAGTGATAGCAGAAAATGACTATGGCAAGAGAACTAGCCAAAAAAAAAAAAAAACAGAAGAAGAAGTAGAAGAAGAAGAAGAAGGAGCCTTTTGAGCAAAATGGAACCGAATAATTAGAAATTCATAAATATACTATCAGCTCATTAAAAAATATACAGGTGCATGAATATGAAAAATATAACCAATGGTTAAGTCTCTTAAAAATTTCTAACAAGCCAGCACACTACATAAATTAACGTACGTGGTGAACACTCCTTTCCAAGCATTGTTAATTTCATTTCTAAAGTATCAACAAAGACCAAAGCGTAGTTACATAAACTGTGAACAGGCACATGCATCATTCACAAACAAAAATTGTTATGCACACTGGAGCAGAATAGAATAAAGAGGCGTTAGCTCATACTCGTTGTGGGTTGATACCAGCAGCAGCAACATACATATCAAGTTTTCCAATAGCTATTCCAATGCCCTGAACTCCAAGATCACCAAGGCCAAGAATACGACTTCCATCTGTGACAACTATCATGTCTACCTGCAAAGAAAAAGAGGAAAGCAGGATAACCATCAGTCAGGACAGCGGGTAAATGAAAACTAGATTGCATTTTCTAAATGGGAGATGACTCAAATTATTGAAGTAGGGAGCATTCCCGTGCACTGTTTAAACAGAAGTTTAATCTATGTATACTGACAAGAGTGTAACATGTTCTATAAAGGTATTTCACATACAAAATCCTTTGGAAAGAGCTGAGGAAACTTTTAGGGAAGACCGAAGAAAGAAACAGACAAGTCAAAAGATTTAATACCAACATGGAAAGATTGGAAAGCTTGATATAAGAAGCCAATTCAAACAATTTTCAAAGTCAGTTTTACATCTTGGAATGTGGCTAAAAGATGGATATTTGTGAATTTCACTTGGTAAACTGAACTCCTTTTTCTTCTCCACCATCCATATTCAAGAAATAGAAACGTTACTATCTCATCTAAAGAAAAAAAAAATAGAAAGAAAGAATGTTGCAGGCATTGTATAGTACCCTTGCAAGATCTAAATCTTTACCTGGGGAGCTGGCCAGTTATAGATCATAGACATCATCTCTCCTTTATCCTTTGCACTGAAATACATCCCACGTGGGCGTCTAAATAAGCCTGAGTAATTTTGACAAACTAATCCTACAGTAGGAGTGTATATTATTGGAGCAAAATGTTTGATGTTATTCATTAGGACCTAGAGCAAAAAAGAAAAGCAGGAAACCCTCAGATGATTCCAAATTTAAAAAATGCACATAAACACTACAAGCTGACTAGAGCATCAAACTTACTCTAAAATACAATGTTTCATTCCTGTCATGCAATCTATTTAAGAGCCTCCATTTGGCTAATGCAACAAAATTTTCTGGGTGGCTTTGAGTGTTTTTCTCCAGAGACCGACACGATTCCACTACGAATAAAACAACATTGCATGGTCTATAGTTATCAAATGAAGAAAGAATTTATGAGAGACTGAACTGCATCAGACGAATGATAACACTGTTTTTTTTTTCTTCTTCTTCTTCTTTTTTACACCAAGTAAATGATAACACAGTTGAATTGAAGGGTAATATTATTCTATTGTGTTGTTTCCTACTATCTGAACTTATTAGTCATACCATCATCAATAAGTCATGTGGAAGAAAATGTTAAAAACTGTTCCCTGGGAGTTGCATATTTATGTGGATATTTGTGTTTTGATAATCATTAACAGTTGTTAACTCGCCTGAAAAACAGTTTCAGAGTTTGAAATTAATGCAGTGGAATGCTTGGTGGGAGATAGATTATTACTGCCGCAAGGCAAGATAACAACACTCTAGGTTTCCTGCAGCATTTTGTTCTAGAAAGTATTGTGCATTAAACAGCTTGCTTGAATCAAACTTTGGGAATATGTTCCCTTAGATTTGTATTGAAATTGTACTTAATGAATCAACACAGCTCGGCTGTGATTTTAAAACTCTGCAGTTATTGACACTCTTCATCAAACATAATTCAAACATCACCAGTTGACTGAAGAATCTTATAATCTATTTGTTAGAAAACTTTATATGTAATAATGATTAAGAATTTGAGTTGAGTTTTTATACTAAAAATCTTACATTCAAATTTAGAGATCGGTGAAAAGAGATTTAGAAAGGAAATAATTATTTTTTATTGTATAGTAAAAAATATTATAATTATAATATCATAAAATTTTTTAATTAAAAATTTTATTTATAATATTATATATATTTATTTAATATTATGTTTTATTTTATTTAATATTATAT